ACTCCGAAGTTAAGTGAGTTGGGGGCTAGAGCAATCCCAGGATGGGTGACCCATTGGGAAGTTGCTAAACTACCAACGGCTCGTGCACTTGCGAGTATCACAAGTTGAGGATGCAACTGAATCCATTTTGGTGCAGCTGAATCTACGCAACAATAGGCATCCCCAAGTATAGCGGACAATATCGTGCTAGGAGAGTCGGCCACAAATGAAACTGATCTCTTGAGCTAACGCCCTGCTGGTATTAGGAGAACAAAATACAGCGGACTTGTCAAAGTTGATAATTTGACCAGAGGCTTGACAAAATAAATCCAAGCATCCTTTCATCACCCTAGCTTTTTGCTTACTAGTTTCAGCGAAAAGGATTAAGTCATCCGCAAAAAACAAATGCGATACAGCAGGCCCAGTTTGGGAGGATTTAACAGGTTTCCATTTCCCCTTATTGATAGCATCAAAGATGATATGAGATAGCTTTTCTATGCAAACCACAAAGAGGTAGGGAGATAGGGGATCTCCTTGTCGAATACCATTCTTTGGAATAAAAGGTTGGGAAAGCTCGCCGTTAACACAAACTTGATATTTGACAGAAGAAACACAACTCATAACCAGCTTAATGAAATTACTGGGCAAGCCTATTTCACTAAGGACCTTTTCAATAAACTTCCAATTTAATCTATCATAGGCTTTAGATAGATCAATTTTCCAGGCAATGAAGCCCTTCTTACCCTTAGAACATTTGAACTTATGCATCAATTCCTGAGCAATGAGGATGTTATCTGTGATTTGTCTTCCAGAGATGAAACTAACCTGATTAGGACTGATGATTTTAGGCAGCATAGGCCTTAATCGAGCAACCAGTAATTTAGAAATTACCTTATAAAGAGTGCAACAAAGACTGATGGGTCTGAACTGCACCATGGAGTGGGGGTTCTCAACCTTGGGGATCAGAGTGATTAGGGTATCATTGAGTTGCTCAGGGACATAACATTCATGAAAAGCCTTACGAACCATGGCGAAGATATCATCAGCACAGAGATCCCAATTCTTCTGATAAAAGGAGGCAGGGAACCCGTCCACACCTGGTGCCTTAAGCCCTCCAATTTTAAACAAACTCTCCTTGACTTCAACCAGTTCAACACTCTTAACCAGGTAGTTCAAATCGGCCTCCTGAACAGAAGGATAAAGGTTGGGTATATCTTGAGTGGAATCAAGAGAAACAGATTGTGAAAACAGAGCTGAAAAATGAGTGATTGCCAGCTCTTTAAGACCATCAGCATCTTCCACCCATACCCCATCACAATTCTTCAGTCTCTCAATCTTATTGCGCCTTCGCCTAATAATTGTAGTCATATGAAAAAATTTGGTATTTCTATCCCCTTCTTGCAACCATTTCAATCTAGACTTTTGTTGCCAGAATAAAGCTTCTTGATCAAGAATGCCATTGTACTCCCCAATCAGAACATCTTCAAGATTGCTCAAAGCCAAATTTGGCCCTATACACAAAGCTTTCTGTATTCCAGCCAGCCTGGCTAAAATTATAGCTTTCTTCTGTCGAAGATGCCCAAAAACAATAGTATTCCACTGTTTCAGAGGCTCAATTAAAGAGCAAGATTTCCCAGTTGCTTGCTCCCACCGTTGAGTGATAAACTCCTTGAACTCATCATGTTTCAACCACATTGCTCCAAATCTGAAGGGCCTATTAGTAGGAGAAGTAGTAAGATTGGACTTCTGTGCTCTGTGCGAAATTTGGTTTCTAAAAATGAAGACTTTTTCGTGTGACCCTTTCATGAAAGAGATCTTTTTCTTGAAAAACTAAATGAAGTTCGATAAGATAAGGTTTTGGGTTGCTTAAGTTTATTTGCATATATTATTACAGTGACGACTCTAATTGTAATTGATTTTGAGATGAATTTTTGTTATGAATTGCAGAAGAAGTTCAGGAAGATGGTAAACTTCTCCCTGAGTTTGCTGACGCAGAAGAATGTGAGTTATTCTGATTCAAACTTGTTATAGATGATTGCTATCCTTTTAAAAGGATGCAATATAAATTTTCTTTGTTATGAAGAAAGATTTTGGCCCTATGGGATTGCTGTTATTAATTTTGTTTTCATCACTTTGCAGAGAAGGCAACCTTCTCTCTAACCTTCTCCTTTAGACACAAGAATGCCATTGTACTCCCCAATCAGAACATCTTCAAGATTGCTCAAATCCAAATTTGGCCCTATACACAAAGCTTTCTGTATTCCAGCCAGCCTGGCTAAAATGATAGCTTTCTTCTGTCGAAGATGCCCAAAAACAGTAGTATTCCATTGTTTCAGAGGCTCAATTAAACAGCAAGATTTCTTCAACGCATCACCAGTTGCTTGCTCCCACCGTTGAGTGATAAACTCCTTGAACTCATCATGTTTCAACCACATTGCTTCAAATCTGAAGGGCCTATTAGTAGGAGAAGTAGTAAGACTGGACTTCTGTGCTCTGTGCGAAATTTGGTTTCTGAAAATGAAGACTTTTTCGTGCGACCCTTTCGTGAAAGAGATCTTTTTCTTGAAAAACTAAATGAAGTTCGATAAGATAAGGTTTTGGGTTGCTTAAGTTTATTTGCATATATTATTACAGTGACGACTCTAATTGTAATTGATTTTGAGATGAATTTTTGTTATGAATTGCAGAAGAAGTTCAGGAAGATGGTAAACTTCTCCCTGAGTTTGCTGACGCAGAAGAATGTGAGTTATTCTGATTCAAACTTGTTATAGATGATTGCTATCCTTTTAAAAGGATGCAATATAAATGTTCTTTGTTATGAAGAAAGATTTTGGCCCTATGGGATTGCTGTTATTAATTTTGTTTTCATCACTTTGCAGAGAAGGTATATGAATTTTTGAAGCTTCAGAATCAGGAACCGCAAGAACTGAACCAAAACCGGCAGGTCCGAGTTAGTTGGTCTTGCCTGTGGATTTTTGTCAGAACCGTACCGGACCGAACTGGTCTTCATTTCTGGTTCAGGTTCCGGTTTCATGAGAAAACCGGTAGCGCTAGTTTAAGCTTTCATTTTCTTCGATTCTCTGGTTTTCTTCACTGGCTCCAAAAGCTATGCAAGCCCTTCAACGCATAGCGACAAAGACCGAGTTCCAGAGACTCTCATCCACAATCACCAAAATCCATTTCATATCCAGCACCAATTTCAGACCCTTCTCCTCCAACTCAAAGAAAGGCAATGACGACTGGAACGACGCCTGGGAGACCGCGTGGCTCCCGCCCGACCTCTCGGGAAGTAGTAGCAGAGCTCCATGGGAGACCGACGTCAATTTCTCGTCTTCAGAGTCGAGCGTAGTGATTCCCTCGGACGCTGACCTAGAGACCAAGGCGTTCGTGGAGGACATGAATGAGAATTGGAACGAGAAAAGAAAACCCAAAGAGGAAAAGCAGCAGAGTGAGAATGGGTCGTCGCTTTATAGCTTGGATAGTATTAAGAAGGATTATAGGATCAAGAAACAAAGGATTCACGCTGGCCTTTGGATGAAGGAGATTGAGAAGCAAGAGGAGGCTAAGTTGGCCGACTCGAATTCTTTTGGTGGTGGGGACGATATCGAGCGATTGCTCGATAGCTGCTCCGAGTATGCTCTCCTTCTGTTTTCTTTTTTCTTTTTCTCATTGTTTTACTCTGTTTTGTATTTGTGTATGTATGCAGTTTGTGTATCCATTTTGAATGTGTTCAGTATGCGGATTGGGTTATCGTTCGTGTATTTGATATGAATGCCCTGTTGTCCATTTGATGTGGGTTCTATGTCAAATTTGAGATATTTCACTTGCACGCATACCCAATAGTTATCTCATTTGTTATGTTTTAATGCTTTGAGTCTGATTGATTGTTTTCCAAGTCTTGAATTTTTTCTTGATGTTACTGGATTAAATATGCATGTGTTAATGTTCATGGAAAAGAGTTTTTAAGGGTGCTTTTTAATTTACTTGTTGGGTGTACTATCGGGATACTTGCAGCATTTTTTATTATGCCAACAACAATTTGGAAAACTCTAAAGCACCGAGTGCTTCCGACTTCAAAAACAAACCGGACGGTTGGGAAACGACATCCAAGGCTAAGGATGGAAATGTATGGGAGATGACACAGAGAGAGGAAGATATTCTTCTCCAAGAGTTTGAGCGTCGAATTGCGTACAATAAATTTCAGGTGTGTAAATACACTCAAACAGACTTGTATTTTCCTTCTTCCCTTATACAGTATGTTCCGAGTGTAAGCATAATATAAATGAAGAGTGCAACTCGTAAGATTAATCCCAAGTTTTAGATTGTCTGTATAAATCTTTATCAAATCTTAGACAAGGGTGTACAAGTGTTGCACATGGCTGTGGTGCATCAGACTTGGTAAAAGAGAACTTTTGAAATTTGACTCTTATGTATGGAATGATGCTACAGTGTCTCCTAGTATTTCTGGTTGTGTATTCAACCCCTTGTTGCCTGTAAAGACTGTATTTTCTGCATAATGGCACCACACCTCCTACAGTTTTTCTACTGAAAAAAGTTTGAATGTACTCTTTCATTACAGATTTATCTAGCTATGCGAACGTCTTCCTCTTTTACCTCTGTCCTTTCTTACTGTTGGTTATCTGACATTGACATGCAGATTGCTAGTTTTATCAAGACTCACATATTTAGCCGGAGGAGACCAATTGATGGTTGGAAATACATGATAGAGGAGCTAGGGCCAAATGCGAGAAAAGGGAAGGGTTCTCTTACAAGATTACCAAGTCTATCCGATGCATCAACACAACCCTTTAAGGAGGAAAACAGTGCAATGAGTGGCAGCAGCATTATGCCCTTTAAGGAGAGGTAGTTTGCTTTTGGACTATGTTCATATATTCCCGTGTGCTCGGAGATTTCAGAGATTGGGCAGTAATGACCATCCTTTGTTTAGAGATACCAGCATCGAAAGTATTCATAGCTACCGTATAAATTCATTCTGGCAATTTTGATCTCTGGCTTTCTCAATGTATGATCGTACCATCCTGTAGGCAACTGAAAGTGCAATTAATGTAAGTGAAAGAATGTATGAATTTCCTTCAAACCTGCTGTTCCAACTTCTGAATGACATTTTAACTTATAAGCCTTCAATATGGGTTCAATGTAAAGAATACCCTTTTGCATTTTTACTGTATTTCTAGGAAAATGGAAGATGCACATAAGTTGTTTGATGAGTTTCCTCAAGGAAATGACTTGATTTCATGGAATACTTTGATGGGTGGTTATCTTCATGTGTCTCAGCCTCAAGTGATTGTAGATTTGTTTAAGAAAATGTGTAGGAGCTGTTTTGAAGCTAGTGTTACCACCGTTTTGAACCTTTTGTCTGCCATTGGTGATTTAGGAAGTTACCTTGGAGGAGAGTCTCTTCATGGGTGCTGCATCAAGACTGGCTTTTGTTTGGATTTACATGTGCTTACTGCTTTGATTGATATGTATGCAAAGAATGGGAAAATTGATTTAGGACGTCGGATTTTCGATGGAGATGCTGTGAAGGATGTTGTATTATGGAATTGTTTGGTAGATAAGTACGCAAAATGTGGCCTGGTTCAAGAAGCAGTAGCTTTGTTGCGGTTGATGAGACTTGAAAGAATGAAACCCAATTCATCTACCTTGGCAGGACTGCTTTCGGCTTGTGCTGCTTCTGGGTCTGTAAGTGTAGGGAGTTGCATTAAGGATTATGTGGAAGAGGAGAACTTGGTTTTGGATGCGGTTCTTGGTACAGCTCTGGTTGACATGTATGCTAAATGTGCGTTTTTGGAGAAGGCACTTGCCATCTTTGAAAGCATGGAAAGTAAAGATGTGAAATCATGGACAGCCATGATTTCGGGTTACGGTGTTCACGGGCAGGCAGGCAATGCCATAAGGCTGTTCTATACAATGGAGGAGGGTTGCCAACCTAATGAAGTCACTTTCTTGGCAGTGTTAAGTGCTTGCAGCCATTTAGGGCTGGTGACAGAGGGAGTTAGATGTTTTGAGATAATGGTTTGCAAGTACGGCTTTGTGCCAAAAGTTGAACACTACGGTTGTATGGTAGATCTTTTGGGTCGTGCAGGGTTGCTGGAGGAAGCACATACACTAATTGAAAGCTTGCCCATCAAGAGTGACGTTACGGCATGGCGTGCATTGCACGTTGCTCTTGGGGAAACTGTGAAGAGAGTGTTAATAAAACTTAATGATGATCATCCCACTAATTCAATGCTTCTATCAAGTGCTTATGCGATTGCTGGAAGGTTGCCAGATCATACGAGAAGAACACAGGAAAGGGAGGATGAAAAGATAGTGAGAGGAGAGAAATTCAGGCCAGTTCGAAAAGAAGAAAACCTGATAAAGGAAGCTGGACGTAGCACAATTGAGACGGATACTCAAGGTTGAAAAAATTAAAGTCATCAAATGACCTGGTATATATTTTTGTATTGTTTTTCGTTTGTTCGAGACCTGTGTTATTGACTTGATGCAACATACCTTCAAACAAAAGAAGAGATTAGAAATTGATATTTTGGTACAAAATTTGAATCATAGTTTCATGGTATCATCTTTGGCTAGTAAGCCTCTTAAGCCCCGTTTGGTGGGCTGGATTGAACTGGTTAGGATAGACTTTGAAGCATTGAATTGGTCTGGCCTAGACTGGTTAGGCTTTGAGTCCAGTCCTATTCATTTTTGCACCAAAAAATAGACTCGAATTAACTTTTTTTAAATTTTATTTTTAATCAATCAGATTTTTATTTTATTTTTTATTAACAATAATCAAATGCAAAATTCCAATTTTTTGCCTCAGATTGAAGAAAAACCTTGGAACCATATGCAAAATCCTAAACAAATCAAGAAAACTCATAATATCAATAATCAAACTCATATCAAGATTTAAAAAAACAGGAAAAAAAAATTCAAACTCATATCAAGTTTAGAAAAACAGAAAAGAAAAAATATATAATCTATTGCTAGTTGTTTTCCTTCTTCGTCTCTGTTTTCTCTGATTCACGCGGCTGTCGGGCTTTGTTTGATTTTGTTTTTGAAGTGGATTTATACATAGGTACCAGGTTAGTCAACATGATAGACAACTGAGATTTCTTCAGTCTTTAGATTGCTTCGGCGATGCCCAATCTCTCCTGTAGTCGCATAAGAGAGCATACCGCGGAGGCGATGACTCCGGCGATGGGTCGAAGGTGGTGGAACAGAGAGATTGGACAGAAGATAAAGGACAGAGAGAGGAGAGAGAGAAGAGAGAATATAAAAGAGGAGAATAGAGAAGAAGGCAACGAGATGGA